ATTATACATAATATAACATAATACATCTTTTATAAACTATACCTATGTAAAAACCGACTTGAATCTTCTCTTTTTTAAGTCCGTTAATTAATATAGATACTAAAACCTCCTCCTAAGTGTAACAAACACTTTTCTAAAAAACACATCAAAATTGGTTCAGTCAATCGCGTGATAATTGGCCACAAACATACCCACATACATATATACATACTGACATACAAGTCAAATTAAAGAATCTCCTCATTCTTTTTTTTGAAGTCAGTTAAAAAAGGACCTGCCGTCAGTCATAAGTCGCTACATATAGAGGTACAGTTTATGAGAAAAGTACGTTACAATTTGATATGAATAGAAAGTCGCAATGTCTAAAAATAACTGAAAAGCCAGTCGCAGTGTTTACTGTGGCTCGTAATCGCTCATCCTGTCGGTCGAGAAGAGGGCACGTCCCAAGAGTTTTGTCAACACGCTAAGCCTCTCCGCCAGACGTCACAATAGTCTCCGCCGACCTCAAACGCATAAGAGCCTCTTGTACTAAATGTATTTTTTATCTAACAAACACATCTACTTTTCCTATAAACAGTTACATAAATATTGTCAAAAGCTATGATCCTGTTGTAAATAAATAAGCAAAGAGAGTTGATAACGTTTATTGTGAGGATAACTCTTTGTTAAGGTATTTTCTTACTCAGATTAATATAATGACTTTCTGATTCTGCTTCCCTATAATGCTATAGCTTCATTACCATGACATAAACACAGATATAACAGAAGAAAAGAAAGTTATGCTACATTATGGTACATAAGTAAGCTTTACTCTAATGAAAATGAACCATAAACCTACGTGTTGGTAATGGTAAACTTATCTATTTACTCTTGCGCTATATATTAGGTATATTATATGACAGTTATTCGGCCAATATTTGGTTAGAGATGGAACGACAGAACACATTATAAAATGTACGCCTTTTAAACCTCAAAGGAATGTTACCACATACCTGTTCATTGTAACGCCCACCGCAGTTATAATACCCATGTCGTAAGAAATTATGCGTCTGTTGTCTTATACTGAGCTCCACGAGTCCAAGTAATCAAGTAATCAAATATTTATTGCATCCATAATGTACACATACACACAGCAACATTTAAAATTGGTAGGAGAGAGGAAGGGCGTTTTGTTAGATTAATATTAACGTAAAATCAAAATTAATAAAAAAGGTATAATACGGTAATTTCTAAGGTAAGAAAATTAAAAATCTAATTAATCCGTCAGTTATATAATGAAAAAATATCAGACACGTATTTTTTTGTCGTATAGTTACAATACTTAAATAAAATGGGTTTAGTTTAGGAGTGGGAGGTAGTTACGTCACAACGTGCTACATTTTGTAGCACCTTGTGACGTCACACGACATTTGAAATCATTGTCGTCGAAAGCATTTAATATTGAGAGAAAATAAAAAATACGTGTCTAATGTTTTAAAATAATCTACCAGACGGACATTAAAATAAAATTAAGGAAACTACCCTATTAAATTATTGTAGTGGTTGCATGTTATCTATTCAGTCGTTATTTACCTAGTACATATACATGTTTATTTTATTTATTTATTTAAGTTTTATACAATTGCATAAGGAAGACTTAATGCTAACAGCATTCTCTGCCAGTCGATAGAGATATATATTAAGTCTATCTTTATTATTTATATATATCACTACTGAGAATTTTCTAAATACTATTAGGTACCTATATTATTTAGTAATATTCATACCATTAGGTATATTATTTAGTAATGCTCCTTATGGTATTTAGAATCCCTTCCTCGGTATTTGCGCTTCTCTATGTATGTACCTCAAAAAAAGTTGGGGGTGATTTAATTTCTTCTCAAGACGCTGTTATCTTTCCGTACAAGAAGAAACTTTAGTTATCTTGAAATCGTTTTATGTAGATAATTCTTAGAGCCACACAAATACTTCTTTAACTCCATCTCGAAGTTAGATGACCATTATGAATAGGCTTCCAGTTTCTTCTTAATAAATATCCAAAGCTTTTCTAAAGAAAAGAAAATTTTACTGAACATTTTCATCAAGCTAATTCGAGAGAGTGAGTGAGAAAAACATTCGTTGAAGTTTTTATCAAATAGGTAAGCAGGCTTATAAATGAATAAAAAATACAATCATATACATTGTATACCTAATTATTTAAATAATTATGGATTGGAAAGCCATTATGGTTGGTGGTTTGGGTATTTTACTAATATTGTTAACGCATTTGTGAGTGCTTTTGTGTATATTTATTACTGAATCACGAACTTGTGAAATTTACAATATTCTTAAGATACCCAAACCAATAATATCATATCCAAAGCTTTTCAATCCACAATTGTTAACATTAAAGGGGATGTAGAGGTACACATAACGGCACTTAATGCCACTGTATAATGTACCTAACACCCACATTTCCTTATTAATGTTATGAGTCTCATGTAATTCCAGACTCTGTGCTACATAACATAACATCACGCCTTTTATCCCCGAAGGAGTAGGCAGAGGAGCACATTATGTCACTGTACAATGTAACACCCACTTTTCACTATGTATGTTATGTATCCCACGTAATAGGGGTGAGCCTATTGCCAGATACCGGGCACAATTCCAGACTCCGTGCTACTACTGAGAATTATTAAAAAACCCAGTAATACTTTGCTCGGCCTAACCCGAGATCCCTTGCCCGGCTGTCGCACTTGCAACCACTTGGTCAATGAGGCAGTCTAGTCTAGGCATAATTGTTTAGGTAGCTATATACCATGGGTAAAAGATTCGGAATAAAATTGGGAACAAGCGTGGATGCTGGTCTGGAATAACGCATAGTTACTTTTAATCCCACGGGATCAGGATAAACGGGGACAAATTAAGTACTATGTTAGCGTTTTCTAAAATTGAACCCTAAGCAAAGAATATGAAAGTCATATTCCATGTAGGTATAGTACAAAAATCATGACTGATCTGATCTCATTAAAACTTGGTATTAACGCTATTCTCTAGGGATGGCAAAGTCGGACGGAGAAAATTTAATTTCAGGACAAATCTACTGCAAACTCGGTGCCCTTTGAAACAATTAATGAACATGTTTTATGAAATTAAACTTTTTAAGGAATATAAATTTAATAATTGCTATAGTTTTTTTACTAGAATTTTCAGTGCCATCTGAATTGAGTTTAGGGAACAAGTAATAAATATCTTCAAAATACACAAACATTTGTATTAACGGACTCGCTAGTTACGCAGTATTTGATTGTCCTGCTATGGTACTAATAACCGGTGGAAGTTCTATAGAAAATATCTAGTTGTATACATCGTGTATAATCGACCTCGATACTTTCCAAACAAAGCGTAGGAAACAATATCTTCATTAATGAAACGTGGGAGTTGATATCCACTCTCGCTCATCGAAAGTGTTTAATATTCAGGGTTGACTCAAGCACTTTAATTTGTAACAAGTGAAACAAATAAATTTTATTCTGCAAATAGCCTACAAGCCAGCATTTTTACACGTCAATTTTTTAAGCGAACGATGGCGTCGACTTTTCCTAACCGCCTACTCTGAGAAGAAATGCCGAAACAAACTCAGAGTCGTCTCTTTCAAGTAGTTCTCTGTTCAATCGTTGTATACAAAACTGTGTAGTTACTGATCAGTAGAGCAACAGCTGAACTTACTGGTCACAAAGAGCAGAGATTTTTATACCACGACGGTGACAAAAAAGCACACGGCCCACCTATGGTAAGCGGTTACCCTGGCCTATGTACGCTTGCAACACTTGGGGATTTAGATTTAGATTAGTCATTTTCCTTGAAAAGTGCTTTAAATACCGTAAAAACATAGTATGGAACAAAATGAAAAACGTTTTTATGTGAGTAAATTGTACGAACAAAATTTTATTCAATACTGCCTACCCGCGGCTTTACCCGTGTTCTCGAGGGACAACAAGTATTCCATTCCATAATCATTGCCTACCAATAAAAAAGTACTTAAAAAAATCCCTACACCAAATTTTATACCAATTTCTTCAGCAACTTTGACGTGATTGAGTAACAAACTACACACAAATATTATTAAGATGTATCAAATTACATTTCGATGAATAAAGTATAGCATAGAAAAACTAAAAACATGCGAATAATAAGATATCGTATTTCAAAACGCTATGTTATTATGCGTATTACGTATAGATCTTTGACAACTGACGGCGCCCAGCAGTAGAATTCTCATACATTAAATATATAATGAAATAAATGTCTGTAGGGATTACCCTACAGACATTTATTTCAATTGAAATTTATTTCAAAGTTTATCGCACAATTATGTGCGATAAACTTTGACGATACCACCTGGCTTCAGTGTCATGAAATTACTATAATCTTTTCAATTCAGTAGAAGGAAGACCTTAACTTTCAATTATCATATACGGACGTAGGAAAAAGTTTTGTCACTTCAATGATATGGCATTGTTATAAGGTGTTACTAAGATTAAGTAACCTTAACTAAATATGCAAGTGTATAAAATAATGTTTTTATTAAGTACAAAATTATTAACCTTTTGAGTGGCAATAGAAAACTATTGAAATCAAATCGTCCTTGGTCACTAGTAAGCCCATGGCGTTTAACGTGTCAATGTTCTCGATTGATCAATTTTCACTTTTTTAACATACTATGTCAGTTGGTTGGCTTAACGCTGGCGCGTATGAATTGTATTAATTACATTTTGACAACCCTAAGTTTTGAATGGATTTCCCGCTGATGCATCATCCGTGGTGAGACACACGGACGCGTGTTAATGTAGGGGTGAGAAGTGCACGCGTGCGCCCTGCAGGGGTGTAAGCGAGGCGCGCACTAGGGGCGAACATGCGCACAGCGAGCCACGTCCTACGTACTCGGTCGATACAGTTGCGGGGGGCAGGTCGCGCATGCGGCACTCTCTATACCCAACAATCAGGTGTAAAGCGACATGGCTGATAGCGAATTTGAAGAATTTCGCCGTGTTTTCGATAGATTACCTCAACATATAAAAGCTCCAACACCATTTTATTCGTAAGTACACCTTCCCACATTCTTTTCATACTCGGCACGGTACAACCCACTCAAGGAATCACGTTCTACTCCGATTAATTGTCACGTGAGGTTGTAATAAAGACTTCATATGCGCACAATGTTGTAAAATACTGTAAAACTAAATTTTGTCTAATAAAATATGAACAGGAATGTGAAGGATTTATCTTACTTTTTCAGATTAGTGCCAAATGTTGGCCTGGAAGATGACTCCCCGTCTTCCAAGAGCGAGTGTACGCCGGAAGATGACACTAAAGAGGACATGCATCCATGCATGGTGGATGGAAACGCTGCAACCACAACAGTAAAAGAGGAAATAACATCAACGCCATCACAGCCAGACATTACAGAAACGCAGCGGAGCCCACAGCATTACGCATTCACGAACGGCGAACGCAAACGAAGAAAGCTGCCGGAGATTCCTAAGAACAGAAAATGTGAGTACCTTGTTTCTTTTTTCACTTCACTCAATTACTTGTTAGAACCACCACAGATCATTCATTTAACAAATAAGCTCGCGGCTTGAAATAACAATATGCTAATGGATTCTACTGCTACAGCGCCCAAGCAATTGATTTTGTGTTAAATATTAACGACCCTAGGTAATTGTTGTGATAGCTAGCGTAATTATAGGTCTATATAGGGTCAATAATTATTTAGCCCACTGATAGAGAACGTGCCTGTAACCTAATTGATTAGTCGACCGATGGAACTGACATACTTTTGTTTTTTTTTGTAATTAAAACAAAATATTACTCAGTAAATACCTAGGTTCGTTCCAATATGTTGTTGTTACGGTATATGATATGGGATTTATTTGGGAAAATGGAATATTTCATTTGTTGTAAAAATGTACTGGAGAGATTACATACATTTATACTACTATTACTTCATACGTTAACTGTAACATATGTTAACATATTTTAGTTAAGTAGGTGGTATGTCATATATTTCAGGACTTAAGTATAAAATATAAAAATATATATAAAATGAGTATAAAAGTAATATTTTATTTGTGCACGTTGTTAGTCTTTCAGTATTGCTACTTCTTAATTATATTTTACGAATATAGGATTTTGTTGTATAAAAATACTCCTGTAGATTTGATATTACCTCTTTCTGACGAAACAATTTCGTAAAACCATAACTTAAAAGTAATAAAATTATTTAATTATTTTTCTACAACTACTTTAGAAACTGATTTTAATACAATTAATTGTAATAAACGCAGATATCTACACGGTATCTATGACCTTACGAATGATAAATAAATGAAATATACCTATAAATACATAAGAAGAACTAAATCACTGTGGTTTCGTTGTATTAAAAGTGTTCAAAGACATCACAGCAGTGTCTTTCACATACGCGAAGGATATAGTGCACATAAAGCCAATTTTAATCAGAAGTTTATTTGATGTTTTAATTATTAGGATAGCAACAAGCATTTAAAAGAACCGTGTTAACTTTATCGAGTATTTCTTCTAAGTAATATTTTGTTTCGTTAACCCGTATCTTCCCAAGTCCTCAAAACTTATTCGATTAAGTCGAAACTTTCAGAATTACTTTTAAGTAGCCCAATGAACGATAATATGCAACAAAAAAAATTTTTCGATTTCCTGTATTTCAGTTACAGTACCGATCCAAAAATGGATCAGTAGGAGAATATGCCACTGTATTTTGTGTGTACATATTGTGAGCTTCTTAGGTTATTGATTGTAAATAATGAAAGATATTTATGCAGAATCTTATTTATTGTGTAAATTAAAACATATTTTTATTATAAATTAAATTAAATTAGCATTAAAATTTTTATTTTGTATGAAAAGCAGGAGAACATTTTTGGTGTAGGGCGACGTTGCATTTGGTACATTTCATCGTGGTGTTTTTATGACACAACCCACAACGGTTTTGTTTTTCACTTTTCACAATATAATGTGCCTTTCCATCTAACCTAATATCAATTGGAACGCGTTTTATGACAGCTAGAGATGATCGTGGAATAGACTTATTAGATGATGATGATGTAGATGATACATTTTCAGTATAAGTCTGGAGATATGTCGTTACAACATGTCTTGTGAATGACAAATAGTCATGCTGATTGTGTTGTGAAGCTGGTGATAGCTTATATAACTGGAAAGCATTATTCATACAAGCATTTATTGGAAACATAAGCAGCTGCCAGTACCACCTCTTCAAGCGAATAGAAATTCGATAGCAGCCCACATTTTGATCCAAACGATCAACACCGCCCATGTATTTGTTGTAGTTGACGATACAGCGAGGTTGGTCGACGTCTTTCTTTTGCTTGTCACAGTAACGTTTTACCTTAGCTACAGGCGCCACACCACATTCGGTTGAGGCCACGGTAACAATATTGTTGTCATTGTAACGCACTAAAGTGATACCAGTCAAAGTATCTGTACACTGGTCGAAAGACCCTCTGCTCATTTTCTTCATTTCTTTAGCTTCTTTCAAGGGTGCCTTTTCTACTCTGTTTGCTCTAACCGTTCCTGTCGCATCGTGTCCTAAGGTTTTTATTTCATCCAACAACGGCAAAGACGTAAAATAATTATCCATAAAAAGCTGTAAGTACCCGGCGGCAATTTGGATATGAGGTCTAAAACAACAGAAGCACCTACACCAAGTTCTGGGTGGGTATTTCCTGTGCTTGCTCCTTGATACAGCTCTCCGTATATCAAATAACCAAGACGAGTACAAATAGACCAGTTTTTATAGCCAAACCGGATGGGCTTGCCATGAATATGTTGTTTTGTCCCATGTTTCCCGAAGTATGGTATCATGGATTCGTCAATACTTAGATTCCTATCACCAGGATAATATTTTACCCATCTATTATTGAGAAGATTCCAGAGAGGACGAATCTTTGCGAACTTATCCTGTGGATCCAAGTTATTATTATCGGCGACGTGAAAGAATCGTAACAGTTCTTCGAATCTATTCCTAGACATAGCAGCTGCCACACCTTGAAAATTACAATCAACACTTTGCTCCCAATACATTCGATATCTAGCAACACTGTTGTAACCCGATAACAAGAGAATCCCTATAAATCGTTTTATTTCTTCAGTTGTAACTTTGAAATTATGGAAACCTTTTTGTATTGCATTTTTTTCAGTTTCAGAGCGAATCAATTCAAATACGTCTTTGTCAAAAAAAAGTTCAAAAAAGTGCACAGGAGTATCTAAATTTTCTAAAAAATGTGGTGGCTCTGATATTTTTTCTGGCTTTACTGGTATGTCTACTTGCCTCCATTTGCGGGTAGCTGGGCATTTTTTTTTCTTGGCTGGTGGTTGTACTGCTAAATCGTCGTTTGTGTTATTATTTGTAGAATGTTCATTTGATATGTCTTCTATGATATCTAAATTAGACTGTGAAGATACAGTAGCCCTAAATTCAGCCTGTGCTAAAAGTTGCTGCCTAGAAAGGTGATTTATATTCGATGACTCCTCATCTCCACTGTCTTCATCACTTTTGTCATAATTATCTGGGGGTGTTATATAGATTACCGCAGACAATACGTCATCTTTGTCTTCTAGATGATATATTATTTCATTTACCGATAATCTACAACAAAATAAACGCAAAATAATAAATAACAATTATTTTACTACATAAACGTTCCATATCCATATTATCCTACTGATCCATTATCGGACCGGTAAACATAAAAGTAAAAAATAAATGTAAAAAAGCTAAATTTACTTTTCACTGTCTTACAATATGATAACTCAATACCTAAGCGATATAAATACGATACAATAATTGTTAATTATTCATAAAAAAGTAATAAATACTTACATTCGCCGATGAGACATATTTTTTACAATTTTATCAAAATGCAGAGGGTAAGAAAACACAAATTTCGCGTCTGACCGAATATCTGACAAATGAATTTGGCGGCAAGAACTATCAGTGCTACCAACATAACAAAAAAAAAATGGCTGCGTTCACGAAAATTTTATAAAAAAATAAAAACGTAACCGATCCAAAAATGGATCACTGGGATGATACGGGTTAAATACCAGAGTGATGAATTTTAATATACAAACAAAATTTACTTTTCCTCGCAATGTACAAACATAATTATGACGTATATGTAGTAGTCTATGCTCTTAATTATACAATACAATAAAATATCCAAGACTATGCTTCATTACGCTTGGCACTGTGGCAGATTGACTGGCTGGTGTGCAACGTGTCACGGGTTCGGCACCCGTGACAAGCAAATAGTGCTAACGGATCTTCCGGGATTTTTGGTGGTGGTAATTCCTCAGGAGAGCACGATAAAACTTTGATCTCAGTTTTTATACATACAAACGTCTTTGACATACAAATATACTAAATCTAGCAAAAAGATGGCCAGGCCATGTTATTAATATTATCCTAAGCTGGTCATGGAGGGCAGATGGTAGTCGCTCAACTTAAATTAGAAACTTATAGTCAAATCTGGTTTAGATTCAGTTCCAACTTCAAAAACTAATTGGGGAGAGGCCAGGACATAAACGCCCCTATTATTTTATGATTTCCGTGAATCAATAAACCTGCTTTCTTTCTAATTAAAATAGCTTAGTATCGTCATTTGATATGGATATCATTATCAGTGATTTGGTACTCTGAAGCCACTGAGGACGTATTAAATATTTCCAGCAAAAATTCTAGCATGCAGTCAGCCAACGTCGCTGGCAGACGAGCTTGGTCAAGTTACCGGGGTGCTGGTCAGGCCTGGGTGTCATACAAGACCACTGCTGGTCCTAAAATGCGGCTATCTCCTGGATGAAGATTCTAGCCCCGACTCAGAGAGATTGCAAAGCCTTGGGGACGTAGACAGTGGACACAGCACTGCGCATTCGCCGATCGATACAGGACCCAAGAGTATATCGCCGACTCCGCTACAGCAAAATGGTTAGTGCACACAGCTTATGTTTACCTTAATGCCCGACGCTAGTGGGAGCGGTCGGGACAGGTTTATGACCTCATTGTTCTAGAATGGCTTCTTTTAAACTAGAAACGTCTTGATACTGAACCAAATGAAAGCTACAGGTTTAAAAGGACTTTCTTACATTTGACTTTGTTCGAATTTGATCCTTTATTGCACCTAAATGTTTTTAAATTGACGCTATATTATGTTAACGATATCTAGAATTGTAGGACCAAACCTGCCCCTACTATAATAAGTCAATAACATAACACAACAAATGGTGGCAGTATCTGAAGACTTTTGTCTACTTCTTTAGAAATAATGTATGTTAAACACGAGTTATGTTGTAAATAAAAATATATTCAATTTTTAGAATGCGAAATCGCACATCTACATCCAACAAACTCATAGATGCATACGAATAAAATGGGAGATTCAATTTCATGACATTAATTTCCAGTATCTCCAGCCTCAAGTTGCAGCATCAGCGGCCTCAATTTTGCTGGAAACATGACAAATATTCCTCACAGTCAACTAGAAATGCTTGAAGCCACGCACAGAGGCCTACACAAGTTCAACCCTAGACATCACGATGAAATCGAAGTGGAAATTGGCGACCCCATATATGTGCAGAAAGAGGCTGAAGATTTATGGTGTGAAGGTAATGCTTTTGACTCAGTTAACACATTTTAAAGCTCGAAGTATGATGAATGATACGTTAGGTGTCTTTGTTGGACAATAAACATAATCAGTTACAATAATAATACATTTATCTAGTACAACTGTACCCTGTAGTTACTCCGAACTCGTTTTGTTTGTCATATATTGGTCAGTCTCAGTGTGGATCTTTTCTACCAAGTCTACCATCTGCTTTTGATTATACTCTTGTCTAAAGTGTTTAATTTTTTGCTATATCAAAGGACATAATAGAATAATACACACACTACACTTTCGTATTCTCGTATTGACTTGCAGTGGCATTGTTTATTAATTAACATAACATCACGCCTTTTATCCCCGAAAAGGTAGGCAGAGGTGAACATTATGCCACTGTGCTATGTAACACCCATTTTTGACTATTTATGTTATGAGTCCCACGTAATAGGTGATCCTATTACCATATACCGGGCACAATTCTAGACTCCGTTATACAGCATTTTTTAAAAACCCAGTAATACTTTGCTCGACCCGGGAATCGAACCCGAGACCCCTTGCCCGGCAGTCGCACTTGCAGAACGAGGCAGTCATTAATTGTTTATTCATTCACATCCCTAGTACGTGTAATTACTATAAATGGGTAACACTAGATACTAGACTAACAAGCCCAAACACAAGGTAGTCAATATAAACCGCTGAGGAGTTCCCTAGACTGTCTATCGGCTCCATCATCAGGTCGACTCCAGACCCGTATCAAATTGTAGTGTTTAAAATTCGTAATTAAAAAACCTAATAGACGCATTACTCCCCCATAGAATTTTCGAAAGTTCCCCTCGGGATCCCTAGGTTTCCCTACTCAGGATCTGATGATGGGATCCTAGGATCCTAGGATCCCATCATCAGATCCTGACTTCATGGAAATGGGAACATCTCGGGAGTATACCCTTTCAAACAAAACAAAAATTTTCAAAATCGGTTCACAAACGGCGGAGTACTGCGCGAACAAACAAAAAAAAAACAAAAAATCAGCCGAACATAGTACCTCCTCCTTTTTTGAAGTCGGTAAAAATGGGTAGCAACGACAGTTTAATACTCATTAAGTATTCTTTTAAAAATGTATATTTAATATTTAATTTTCTGACTTCCAGGTGTAAACTTAAGAACAGGGCAGCAAGGGATCTTTCCGTCGGCTTACGCCGTAGATATGGACTACAATGACTTCGACCCTGCTAACGCTAAAGACAAGAAGGAACGATATCTGCTTGCGTAAGTCTAGACTTAGGAGTTGTTCTATATAATGACTATAGATTCATCCAAGCCTAGGTGAAATCGATAACGTAAATGGTAAAAAGGGAAGGTTACGTTGAATACTTTTCACCTTTATATGACCTTTTCGGAATGGTGATACATGTGTGATATCGAAATACGTTGTGTACGTATAGTTGGCCTGTCAACACGTTATTATTAACCTGTTGTTCAATTGGTTCGTCACTGTTTAAACAGACAACCAGAAAATCTAAATAAGTAAAAACTAAACTACCCATTAAGGTGCTAAATACTATATTTCTGTTATAACTTTCGTGGGGCATACTAAATTAATTTGGTTTACTTGCGTAATTATTTGACAAGGAACTCGACTAGTTTCAAACCATGCTAGAGGCTCATATATATGAGCAGCATTCGGTGACCCGCGACCCGACAGTACGAGCCTCTAGTATGGCTTGAAACTAGTCGAGTTCTTCGTCAAATAATTACGTGTGCTGAATACTAGTTCTTATTTTGTATCGTTTAAGAACTATATTGTTTTAATGTGTAATAATATTAATGTTTTTCGAAAGTATGTTTCTATATCAACATTATTATTGCTTTTCTAAAGTAGTTGTTTCGTGGCAGGTACATGGGGTCTGTGGAGACGTCGGCTCATAAAGGAACGGGAGTTGTATGCCAGGCAGTGAGGAAGATAGTTTCGGAATGTAATGCGGAGCCTACAATGCAGCCATGTATTTTAGAAGTATCAGATCACGGGCTTCGTATGGTAGATCGATCAAAACCCGCGGTAAGTATGCAATTTAATATAACTCAGTAACTTATGACCATGGGGAGTGTACTAACGTCTCATATGTATCCGAGTATATTCTACTATTTCCGGCTAGCCACGTAAATATATATAAATTTTAGATCACAAAAGTATCCTATAAATTTTAGATGACCTAACTACGATCTTAAATATACCCATCGAGCATGGGGATTTCTGGCGAAAAATTCTTTCCTTCTTCACCAGTATCCGTATTCCGGTTGATGATGTAAAGTCCTATTTATTCCCTTAACCGTGGTCTATGTGTAAGTTACTGAATCATTCAGTCTCCCAATAATATGGGACATCACAGCTATAGTTTCAAAATAGACGGTGGCAATATTCTTGTAATCAAGATTGTTAATATAAGAATAACAAAAATTGTACACTGAACCTACAGTTATAAATAAGACTGAGACAATCGCCAGAAATAAACTGGTCTAAGAATATTTGCTTCAGTACCTAAATAATCGTCAAGTTTATACAAAAGTCAAACAATCAATCAACTATTATATTTACATCATAAAGCACAGTTGGTCGGTCCATGGTTTATGTTACACCAGGTTTTTTTAAACATTCAAGTAATTACTCATATTTCTATTTTTCTATAAACAAAAAAGTCGCAAAGAGGCATATTCACATTAGCGCTAGCAGGCACACGTTAACGCTATTTTGTAGCAACGTGTGTAATGTAAAACAATGAAAATATTTGTTATTTGCACATTGCAATTATTTGAAAAATAAATAAAATAAAAATCTGTATGGTACTGATCACGACACTAACACATGTACAGTATTAGTCAAACCAACATAATATGGATTCTTCTATTCGACCTCGGTAAATAAACGTTTAAATACCATTTGGGATCTGAACACGTTTCAATAAATGTTGATGTTCCATACAATTTGTTGAAAACACAACGGATGCATTGGCTTTTTTATTTTGGTATAAATAATTTGAACCTGCTTTGCTCACACGGGTCCTCACGATTTCTGTATTAGGTACAACAAGCCTGTCACTATGCTTTACCAGAATTTACACGATTAACCAAAAACTACATGTATGTAGATACTTTTAACAATTATCTTTGTCTCATCTTCAATCAGTTTCAATCTGTCATTGTGCCCAGATAATGTATTAATGTAATAATTAATCACTTATAGTTAGGCGCCTGTGGCATTACAACAAGCTATAACCCAAAAACGTTTTTTGTGGTTGTAACATAACAGGCGCACAATGTACAATGTAACTTAGTACCTACCGCTTAGGTAGAAAATACATTATTTATAATTAACTTGGTTTTTCTCATTACTCGACTGGAGTGACTGTGGAGTAAGGTGTCTCACTTCATTGCCGGATCGAGAAAAGTATTTTTGCTACTATTTTTTTTTTAAACCTTTCACTAATAATCGTTAATTATGCGGCGCATGACAATAGACTCATCTCGGTGAGAAGAAGAATGCACCATTGCTTTAAATAACATATTGACTGCGATTTTAGATGACACAATATAATTTGGTACGAACTAACAGAGAATAGGTACAGTTAAATAAAACTATTGAATAATAGGGTAGCTTAATTTTATTTCAATGTCCGTCTGGTACATTAATTTAAAACTATAGACGCGTATTTATTCTTTTCTCACTAAACTACATACTTTTGACGATATATTAATATCGTGTGACGCCACAGCGTATCACATTTTGTAGCACGTTATGACGTAACGACCTCATACTCCTAAACTTAGCGCTATTTAATGCAAGTATTGCAACTTAATACGAGAAAATAAAAAAAACATGTCTAATATTTTTTCATTACCTAACTGACGGACTAATTAGATTTTTAATTTTGATACCCTGGAAACTATCCAAGTCCCCCTCGTCTAACCCTATTGGTTGCCTTTACCTTTAATAGAACCAAGAATATAACTTCATTGATTTATTTTTCAGAGAAATCGAAACGGGCCATGTATCGACTATTTCTACTCCCTAAAGAATGTTTCGTTCTGTGCGTTTCACCCGCGAGACCACAGGTACTTGGGTTTTATCACGAAACACCCGACGCTGCAGAGGTTTGCATGCCATGTCTTCAGAGGTCAGGAATCCACGAGGCCCGTAGCTGAAGCTGTCGGGTAAGTTCACACTATAATTTACAACATTTTCATTCTACAAAAGTATAGTTACTTTTTTTACAAAAGTATAGTAACAAAAGTTGTAAATGTTGTTTTGTAGGTACTACTAACCTACAATACACAATAATATGAGTACCTAGATCTAATTATACTTGCTGCTTCACTCCAATCTATATCACTGTGTTTATTATATAGTTTCTGTTCGGTAAACAATTAATTACTTTTACGTCGTATTTTAACCTGGTTTTATTATTTCTTACATCTTATTCGGTTTTAAGCTAAATTTCATCATATTCAAGTTTCTCTGAGACCGGATATCATCAAAATTTGCACTAATATATGCATTATAATTTCTCTACTTTTGTTATGATAATTATTATTGCCTCAACAGGACAGTATGTTGATGGCTTTAAAACTGAGCCAAATATTGTTTAAAATGTGGTAAAGATTGTTGCGTGTCATCATCTATCTATATCTATAAATAAATTACATATAAGTTGCTTCGTGTTGGAAATATAGAATGTAAATTTTACTTTTTTATTCTATGTTGTTAACAAGGCCTGCTATTTTCATTTAATTCTTTGAACTGCATTCCCTACCTTGTCTGTCATAGTGGCGTAAAACCAGTTGTACCACTTTTTTGTAATAAATTAAAACTATACACATTTCGCCACATAAAACTGCATTGTTCACTTTATCTCATCACTGCCCTTAGACAAGTTCAACTGAAGTAAGTTTTTTCTTTTTTAATTTCAGGAGAGCGTTCCACAGATTCTACCAAACGTTTATAGAGACGGCGTATCCAATTGAAGACATTTATATAGAATAGATTATTAAGCAAAACTAACAATAATACCATCAACGTATTACATTAGCTTACTTCAGCCACAGGCTATGAAGAAAATTTAGGTTTAGATTGACTTCCATTTAAAACCGCGTATAGTTTTCATACTTATAGCAATATTTTAAATTTCTCGCTGCAGGCGATATCGTTTATGGTATCAATAAAATAGTTTGTTATAATATTTTTACAATTAATTTTCATAAGTCTCGTTGTTAATCGCTGTTTGCATGTCGCCCCGAGTATAGATTGAGAGCTACTGACTAGAGGAATGCATTTGGAACAATATATTATGCTAAAACGTGAATGTTTAACTAAATACCGGTTCTACTGATTAAATTTTTATTTAAATGATGTTTAGATAAAATAGATAATATTTAACTTTCTCTTAGATTTCTACTAATTTGTTTATTTGAATAAATAAATAAAATTTTAGGTTTGTAGCTCTCACTCCATTCACATTATCGTATGAACAATTTTCGATTGCTTTGTGAGCATATGTTATGAACTTAGATTTGTATGAGAGAGAATCATTCCAATATATTCTTGACCATGACTACTCCTAACAAATTAAAATCCTTAATTTTAAAGTAATATTTTAGTACTTAGAATATTTTAATTAAGGTAGACTGTAGTCACGGTTTCAAGTCGACTTGCACTTGGTGTCAAGTGAAGAGACTTATGCACATGAACTGTGGGATGCGTGAAAGATAATGTAATTACTATAAATCATCTTTATTTACCGTTTTATACACAAAACATAAGATAAGTAGAACTTATTTTGCGGATATCGTTTTATTTATGAACTTATTATTGAAAAATTCTATGCGTTGTTTGTCCTTAAAACATTTAAATACTTATAAAGAAAAACACACATATCAATTGCAATGTAAATCGTAAAGTATTTCTATACATATGTTTAATAAATGAAGGTTTATTTTGTTTCTACATACATTAAGTCCATGCCCTGACATAGACGGACGAAGTCAGAATATGGTTGTCATAAGAATCGTGGATCACATTTAAATATCACTTGCAGCCGGTAGACACCGGGACGAGGACATAATAACAACTCGTTAAAAACTAATTACCTAACCTACAATAATCAGTATTATTAATTAAAGCTCTACGTAAAATAAGTTTTACTTGCTTTCAACACTTGAATAGTATTGTGTATAAAACTGTGTAGATATACTACTACCATTCTGCATTGTGACTGATAACTATTAACAAATATACACATGCGTAGATAGATATTTTACATACGACAAAATTAATTACTTACTGTTAATATTTCAATTCAAATAAAGTGACATGAATTAAGAAGCTAATCGATTAATGCAAGTCACGCCGATTAAAAAAGGCTTAAATCGATTTGGTACTAAAAATCGTTCTAAGAGTGTTTATTTTGCTAATAAAACTTATATTCATATCAATAAAATATGAAATCTCAATCATTAGTTATAATCGATTCTCAACCACTGTGATATGAACAGTTGATTTTTTATGTATGTAGATATAAAGTGTTTGAAACTCAGCCCCTTCAGTAAAGGCAGTGTGATTGAATGCTAATTTGTATACTTCCTTACCTTAAGTATTACTATCAATATGCTTAATGGAATGTATCTATATAACGTTTGTAGCTATTTATATTGGTTAGGTAAAGTACAGATACTTAGCACTACAGCAACAATTCCTTGATCTGCGGTAGGTAGGTCTTACCTAACGATAGGATAGCCATTGCTTATGCAATGTTGTCTAATAAATTCGCTACATACACGTTTTCACACGTACCTAAACCGATGTTATACAGCGCTATAGTTTGAATTGTAAATAGTTTTCACAAGGAATCGTTCACATTGCGCTGCTAGACTATTATGTAATAGTTTCTTCCAAACAAATGAATTAACTTTGCATTATCAAATTCCAGTTGTTGATTATTTGAATTGTTTGTCGAACATGCAACAGTGATGTTTATCTAATTTGTTTAATTTTAGCCATTATAATAATAGAGTAATTTATAAATCTATGTTATACTTTATGCATTATAACGCATTAAGGTAAAGCTGTGGTCGATCTTAAATTATACATAAGAACTAAAACTGCTGTAAGCTTTTAAAATGTAGTACTAATTACTCGTAGCCTGTTAATACGATTTAGAAAATGCATCATGAAATCTTTTATATGTGCAACACCTAATTCATATATTATTTACATTCGACTTGAATCCGCCTAATAATTACAAATTTTATTTCCTAATCAGAAATTTGACTATTTAACGATGATATTTTTATTTAGGAATTCAATAAAAGGATGTATTTGATATTTATTTTAGTATTTTTAAATGTGTTTTATAATACAATGTCTCACGATGTCACCGCAATCAGGCCACCAGCCAAAGCCACAAAACGTTACTGCAAGAAGATAGAAGTTACCACGGAGGTAACTTAAGGACGGTGGACGCTACTGCCGGTTGGCTAATCAAGTTACCCTGTTAAGTCTTCAAAAATGTACCTAAACTGCAGGAAATACGCGACGGCGTTTTGTGGCGGCTGCTAGTCGCTCACCTGCGGTGACACCAACATTAAAATCAATTTTAAACAAGATATATGTACGGCACATGTTTGGAAAAGTTCTCAGTTGTAATGTGAACGTAATCCACGACTTGTAAATAATTTATATTCAGCTAATGGCAATCGTATTCAACAAAGCTGAACAAAGCTGTGACTCAAACATGAACAAAAAAATTATATTTATTTTTCCAATAAATGTCATAGCGTATTTGATATATCGTGTAAGGCATGAAATAATAATAAATATTATTTGGGACTGATTTTTTGGCTGTTATTTGTGTAACTGTTCCTCTTTTTTGTCACTTTTATTTTTTGGTTTTTAGAACCTCTTGTTAGACGATGATTTCTCGTGTTTGACGAGGATAAATCTAAAAATCCTACTAACAAAAAATACCTCAACTAGTTAGGTAATTCTTGGAAGAAACAAAATCATCTTTTTTTAATTCTTCCGTCAATTTTGCATGTACCCTACCTATCTAGAACAACGTTAAAATAAGTTCAGAAAAGTCAAGACGAATTCGTTTAGGAAAGTACGAGAAAAACGCAAATACTATTTGAAATTAGAAATCAAGTCTCGAAACACAGATGGCTTGATGTCACCATTTTCAAATTGCTATCGACAGATGGCGCTTCTCTCGCTTCTTCTGCTAAAAATAGATGGCGCTACTCTCGCCTCTGGGCTTCAAAGTTTTCAAGGTCAACTTTTGTTCATTCACCCGACCTTGCACATGTTATTGGAAAGTTCAACTTTTAATGAATTAGATTGCAGCTCACTAGAGACGCGCAGTTGTAAACTAGTAGATAGTTAATGCTATTAACTTAGTATTGATATGTAATTGAAATTGTTCATTTTTATTAGTTAAACTTTAATTTCCGCTAGTGCGCGGTACGTATAGCAAATACTACACTGCGTTGAATGTAAGTTTTTACCTACCTATATTGTTACTAAACAAAAAATATATTTCAAGTAGATAGAAATTATTTTACATAAAAGACGTAGACGGTAATTTCTTAGTATATTGAAAATTTTAACAAGATCTGTCAGTTGACTAGATAAATAAACCTGCTGTTTCAGATACACTTGCTTCAAATTCTGTAAAGTGTACATGGGAACATTGCTTTCTTTCTTTCTTTCTTAAATCGCGGAGTTTTCGTGCCTGTTTTCATCAAGGTTGACTAGTTTTTTGATTTTCATCATTAACGATGTAAAGAATAATCTTTATCCAGCTTTTCGGTGTTGTATTTTCTAATTCGTTCTGTAATATGTGTAGGACAATAATGGAGTAGCCTACTTCCAGCAGTTCAGTTTTCTGAGGACTAAGGACTCCCGGCGAGATATTCTCCTACGCCCGCCGCGGTGGCGCAATGGAGGCGGAATTTTCAAAACTCACGAGACCGCAGTTTTCTGCGGTCCGGCCTGCAAACTTGGCGGTTGATTATCGCAAGAAGGTTGAGCGGTTAAACAATCAGTTGAGTTCCAGACTGGCCGTCCCATTGCGATCGCCCGCCAACCGCTCGCAGAGCGCGCAGGATCTAGCCGCCGCGACTGTGGAATCGTAGCCGCGGCGGGATCCGCAAACAATCGCGACCGCCGCGGGTGTAAAACGCGTCGTGAAAATCGCTTTGTTTTTTTACATACATCTGTATTCTACAAATGCTGTGGGCCTGCAAATGTGGCGGGCGGGAGGAAATCGTGCCGTAAGTCCTTAGCCTTATACCTTTATTATATGCATTTAATAAAGCCCAAAATAACAAGAGAGAAACATAATTTTCGATTGATTTCCGAGTTATACATAACATCACACCTTTTATCTCCAAAGGGATAGGAAGAGGTGCACATTACGCCACTTAATGCCACTGTACAATGTAACATCCACTTTTCCAGACTCCGTGCCACTAATGATTTTTAAAAAAAAAAACCCTGTAGTACTTTGTCCTACCCGGGAATCGAACCTGAGACCACTTGCCCGGCAGTTGCACTTGCGACCACGCGTCCAACGAAGCAGTGGAAGCATTTTCGAGTTATGTATTTTTTAAATTCAAATTATAACCACTCTTACAATTTTACTAAGTCTTTTGATTTGATTGCCATGGCAACCGACATGTGTTATTGTGTAAGCAGTAAATTGATTTGACAAACGATTCTATTTAAGAACCGAGAAATGAGTCTATTAAGTGCGCTCTTAAGGTCATCACATACCACAAAGTACGTGCTTGCTAATAAGCACAGCTCCGGCACGACGTTCTTTCTTTCGGAAACTATAAAATACCTATGTCCTATGACATATGATTCAAAGTTCATATTTATGTGACAAGTTAATTGCTGGAATGGAGCAGTGATGAAGGCGTGCTTGTTAGACTTCCAATGACCTTTATATGACATGAAATAGATCGGCGACCACGCGATTTGGTCAC